TTTAAACTCTACAAATATATAGATTCAGATAAAAAAAGTTTACCAAAGTTAGTCAGGTGATTGTCAAGATATCTTTGCTCAAAATTCAAAATGCTTATCATAATCATATCAAAATGGAAGCTATGCTTAATTATTTTTAAAACTTTGAGTGAAGATATCTTGATGACCACCTGACCAAATTGTTAAATTTTTTTTTTGTTTGAATTCTATAGATTTACAGAATTCAAATAAAAAATATTCATCAAATTTTGAAAATATTCAAAACATCTATCAAAATAGAAGTTGCACTAAATTCTTTTAAAATTTGAGTGAATATATATTGAGAACCATCTGACAAACTTGATGTTTTTTTTTTTTGAATTCTACAGATTTGTAGAATTCAATTAAAAAATATTTTATCAAATTTGGTCAGGTAATTACTGAGATATCTTCACTCAAAACTTTAAGAATAATTTGATACAGCTTCTATTTTAATAGATGATTTGAATTTTTTTCAACTTTGACAAAGATATTGTGACAACTACATAACCAAATTTGATAAAATTTTTTTATTTGAATTCTGCAAATCTGTAGAATTAAACCTCCTCTAATCTTTCTTTGTTGTCATGTAGCAGATCATTTTTACTAAAGTTTATGATTAGTGTTAGGCATCTCATTAATTGGTTGCAATCTCACTTGTGATCTGCCACATTTCCTTTTAGACTAAAACAGAAAGGATTTTAAATAAAAATTTTATAAGATCAGATCTTATTTATCTGATTTAATCATTCTGATCAAACTGCTTGATCTGATCGATCTGAGCATGCCCCCAAATCCTTTTTATTGTATTCAGTTGTATTTATAAGATTCAAAATTAAATCGAGTTTTGATTCCATAATTCGATGTACGTATCAGTATGCATTGCTATGAAACTTTACATACTAAAAATAGTAAACTTTATGTTCATCACTCATGTTGTCTTATTAGTTAACCCTTATAATATTTTCTTTTTATAGCACATCTTGTGTGCCAGTTACTATCGAGTAATTAGCTACAGTGATCAGCACCATTTAAATTCTATCAGAGACCTCTATTTATTTATCTGTTATTGTATATATGTACATATGTTCGTAGAATCTCTTTAAATAAAATTTTTCACCTTGTACTTCATCAGTTTTTCTGTGCATTATAGGTTTCTATTCTTCTAATTTGAAATTGTAGATATAACAAAATTAAATAAAATATTCATGAACTATATTACATGTGTTAGCAAGAATGCAGTATAATTATTATTTGTTTTTTTAATAAGGTATGGCTTAGGTAGATTATATAAAAGCTTCATTTGTTTCAAAAAAATTTTTAAACTATGCAATAAATTTAATTATATTCAGTAAAATGAAAATATTATTATTGGTTTCTATTTAATTGAATTTTGATTAATTTAATCTATTGCAGCTACGGAGCCTAACCACAACGTGAGATATCCTTGCACTGCTATCATAGTTGTGATACTTAATCACCAAAAATAAGCCTCTTGCGCTGCCTGTGATGGTCATAGAGCCTAATCACAGCATGAGTTCCTTGGCATTGCTATCGCAGCCACGGAGCCTAATTACAATATAAGGTCCTTTTACTGTTATCATAATTGCAGAGTTAATCGCCAAACATAAGCCATAGAACCTAACCATAACATGAGATCCTTGCATTGCTATCGCATCCATGGAGCCTAATCACAATGTAGATCCTTGCACTACTATCATAGCTAAGGTGCTTAATTATCAAACATGAGGCTCTTGCACTGCCTGCGACAGCCATAGAGCCTGATCACAACATGAGGTCCTTGCAGCCACGGAGCCTAATCACAATGTGAGATCCTTGTACTGTTATTATATCTTTGGACCTATAATAAAAAAAAGTCAAAATTCTATTCAGATTTTGTTCATATTATTATTTTAAAAAATGTGCATTTTTCATAATAAAAATCTGAACAAAATCTTAAAAAAAGTTTCTTTTTTTATGGAGAAGGCTCAATTACCAAACATGATGTTCTTGCATTGCCTGTGGCAGACATAGGGCCTAATCACAACATGATGTCCTTGCAATGCTATCGCAACCATGAAGCCTAACCATAACATGAGGTTCTTGTACTGCATACTACAATATCAGGTACTGTATAGTACACTTATCTCTAACTTTCTTTAAGCAACTCAAGCGCCTAGTTCTATAATAGAATTTTTTACAAATAATACTAACACACTTTAACCACTATATGTACTGCATTAGTAAACAAAACTCTATAATGAAAATTTTAACACAAACTAATTTCTCCAAAAATAAGCACCCTCTACAATTCATATATACAAAAAATAAGCATCTCTTATATAATAGAAATAAGCGACTAAATAACAAGTTATTTAAATTATTAGTTGAATTTATACCTGAATATGAGCAACCTTATAGTAAAAAAGAGCCGCTTATTTTCAGAGGAATATTAAGAATTTTTTCAGTATTGATACTAATTCTAACTCAACCTTATCCACTATGTGTATTATATCAGCGAGGAAGTTCTATAACAGAATTTTATGGCAACTTATAGTATAAATCACAAAAATTTTAACAAACCTATCATAGCTATATATCATGATAACAGTAGGTTTTGACCAGAATTTTTTTGCAGTAGCATATAATAAAGATCATTATAATTCCAATACTAATTCAACCACTTTGTGTATTGCATTAGCAAATAAATTCTAAACCAGGATTTTTACAGTAACTTGCATGAAAATTTTAGCAAACTAACTTGATATTAACTACATAACATAAAATGAAACAATGAATAAGCGAGCAAATTTTGTAGCATAATTTTTTACAATAACTCATGGTAAAAATTACATTTGTATGTATACCATTGGTAACAGGATTTTTTATAGTAAATTGTTAGAAATAATGATAATTCCAACGCAACCAACTAGATGCTCTGGTCATTAGAATAGCGAGTAAGTTTTGTAATTGAATTTTTTTGCAATAACTTATAATAAAAATCACAGTAATTTCAAAAACTAACTCAATTATTGTAATTACGATAATCCCAATGCAACCAACTCAACCTTAACAACATACTGAATAGATGTAAATTCTTTAATGGAATTTTTTACAATAATTATGACTAACTCAACTGCTGCATGTACCATACTAGCGAATGAGTTATGTAACAGAATTCTAATGCAACCAACTCAACCTTAATCAAATCCTGAGTCATCGAAACTGCGAGCAAATTTTGCAATGATTTTTTATATAGAAATCACGATAATTCCAATACCAATTCGACTTTAACCACTATATTTTACGCATTAGTGATCAAATTCTGTAACAGAATTCTTTACATTAAATCATAATAGAAATCACGATAATTCTAATTAAACCATTTCAACCTTACATATAAGGTCAATGAGTAACGAATAAGTATTTTTTTTTACAGTAACTTATGATAGGCAGTTTCAAGAACAGTGAACCCAATGATCATCACATCACATTATAAATCATTCGGCCTAAGTTAGGGTTAATGTAAGTGTTAATGTTGGGGTTAGGTGATAGTTAGTTTAGGCCGGTTTTGTTGGTGATAGTAAACAAATAACGTAATTGCATGATTCACGTGACGTGATGGTATCTTTCTTGAAGTGTCCCTAGTTTTAATATAACAATTACGGTGCAGGCTAACTCAACCACATACTGTAGTCACTGAAATAGTGAGTAATCTAACAAAATTCTTACGGTAACTCGCGATTGAAATTACAATAACTCTAATGCAAATTATTGCGATTCGCAAAATTATGGATCCCATTAATTGTTTGAGTGATAATCATCACTCCACGACGAAGGTAAATGCCTTTATTATATAAAAAAATCCTTAGGTTGAGTTCTGATAGATTATTTTAGAGGTTGGTTAGGTCTTATTCTCAAAAAGATAATTTGGTGCTCTTAAAGTATTTTACTACACCACACCTGATTGTGATTATGGCACAGTAGAATATTCATATATATAAAAGCACCAAATGACTTTTCCTAGAATAAGTTCTAATCAATTCTTTAAAATAATCACAGAACTCAACCGCAAAAGAGTTTTTGATATTATAAAAGCCGTCACAACCACAATCGATTGTGGAGCGATGATCAACGATTAATGATTCAGAATTTTGCAAATCACAATAACTTAATCACACTGGGATTACCAGAATATCGAATGCAATTCAAACGAACTCAACCACATACTGCGGTCTCTGGAATAGAAGTAAGTTCTATAAAAGAATGGTTTGCTGTAACTCATGACAAAAATTATGGCAAACAAGCTAACTATTGTGTACTACATTATCGCTTTTTTCGATTTAATTGAAGTTGATCAATTATGAATTTTTTGTGAGCTCTGTGAATCAAAAATATAGACTAAATTCGTTATATTTTCATATTTTTGGCATTATTATATTTCACACGAGATATGAAGTCATTGTGTATTTCGATGTACGGTAGCTCTCCCACAAAAAATTCCCTCCTCTCGTGATTTTTATCCAATTGGGATGTTAAGGTTAGGGATTAGGGTTAGTGTTAGTCACGTTAGGGAGATTTATTGATTAATGTTTTGTGGGAGATCTACAGGCGTTTGTATTTCGTGTGATGTCATATGATACATTATATTTTTACAATACTTGTCGCGCGAGGACACATCACTAGTGGTTACGCTGGGACTTTTTGTTAACTATAACGATTTAGTACAAAACGTCGTAAAATGATATGATTTGTGGATTTATTTTATGTATTCACCAACAATATGATCACTTTAAATGTATTTTTCGTATTATTAGTCCGAATTCAACTTAAATGGGTTTCCGAATTTTATTTAAATACAATAGAGTAATTTATAAACTATAATGCAATAAAAAGTAATATAGAATAAAAAAAATATAGTAAACGAAAATACAACCAGTATAAACTTTATAATATGTTTATAGTTTCTACAGTTTTAACTTTTATGATTTTAAAAGAGTCTCTAAGCATTCGACTAAATCAGTTGTATCGTACCGAGCTTCTTTTGGCATCCCAACAAGTTTTAAAATACCATCTACAACAATGAAAAATCGGAATGGCCAAGGGCAGTATAACTTCAAAAAAGTATTATCCATTGTATCTACTAGTACTGGAATTTTTAATTGTGTTGCTTTAACCATTTCTTCTGCAGCGGTTAAACGATCAGCTAATGTTTTATGTTCTTTAACATCTACAATATTACCAATCGGCCAAACGTCACTAGCATGAGCTTCCTTAATTTGTATCATATAGAAATCTGTACTCGTTCGATATCGTTCATATATATCATTAAGTACATGAGATATATATCTGTATAAAGGACAAGTAAGTGATCCAGCGAGAAGAACCAGAGGCCGTCCTGATCGACAAAGTGAACGTAAGGAAATTGAATTTGGTAAATCTGTATCATCTGCTGTTCCTACAGACATATTCGAAACTGTCAGTTCCGAAGCTTCCATGGAAATATTTGGAATAGTTGTGTCAGTATATTTTAAAGGAATAAGCGGACAATCTGGTGCTTGCATTCCTTCTTTAAGGTTTCCAATGTTTGCGACATTATTACGGACATATACTTGAGTGTTACTAAATTCAGGATCATCTTTACGTATGGGAATGTAAAATAAATGAAAACTAAAGTTAATAATTCTGACCTCATAATAATAACATAAAGATAATGGTAGATATGCTTGTCACCTGGATAAAGTTGCGGTGCACGCCGCATTAGTTGAACAGCCTCATCAGAGTATCCAAATTCTCGAACCAATTCATATTGCATCTGATCAGTGACGTCCATCCAGTCTTTACCACATGTAGGATCATTACCAACTTTGCGGTATAATTCTTGTAATTCAGGTGACATTCTTCGTCGTTCTTCCTCACGTAATAATGCTAATAACTTTTCTTTTGTAGTTGGAAGCTTCAAAGTAACGGTAACAGAGTGCTCAGGAATATTATTTGGTACGATCTTTTTTTTACAAGGTTTTAAAAGTTTTAGCATGTTAAATAATGGGATACAGCATGTGCTATTATCCTCTCCGTCATTTCTGTCTGTGAAAAGGAAAATGCGATTAGAATTGAAAAATTGATATGTTATAATTATAAGAATATTGGTAATTATGTATTACCATTATGAATCTCAACTCGTGGAGGATCCTGTTGATGTTCTTCTGGCTGAGTAAGTGTACGTTCTTCAGCTTGAGGAAGTGGTGGTAACTCATCAAATCCTGTGCGACCGCTGGTTTCATGAAACATTCCACCACGTAGTCTAAGCACAATATGTAACGTAGACTCTTTTTGAATATTATAATCTGATAAGGTTCTCCCATCTTCTAATTGCTTGCCAGCAAAAATAAGACGTTGTTGATCAGGGGGGATGCCTTCTTTATCTTGTATTTTTTGTTTAGTTTGGTCAATTGTATCGCTCGACTCTACATCTATGGTAATTGCTTTTCCAGTTAGTGTTTTTATATAAATCAACATTATGTGCTTTGAAGTGCTAGTTAAATCGTTATGCAATATTTAGTATTCAGCAGCTTTATAATAGAATGAGTTCTGTTGTTGAATTTCACCTTTGATTGGTTTAGATTTCTTCTAAAATTGAGTAATAAATGTAGAGCATATAATTTTTATGAATACACGCATATATGCATTATTATATTCTCTTAAAATTTTAAAAATGCTTACCTTAAGTACGTATAAACACTTATTGTGGATTGTAAACTCACAGGAATTGTGAGAATTTTATATCATCTGACAGTCGGATCGGATATGCTACTCCGAAGTTGTGTACCTTATAACGCTATTTGTAGAATTTCATTGTTTGGTCAATAGCATTGATTGTAATTAAAGTTTAGAAAATCATGTCAAACTTATAAATACCATTTTGAGTTATTCATGTTTGAACATATGAATTTAAACATTTATATTTATCGATGCTTATGAGCACCTCTTTGTTTACTTAACTTTAAAACAATGGCATAATCAAAGTTTTAAGGTTTAGGAAATTATCAAATTTATAAAAAAATTAAGATTCAATGACTTTATCGTTAAATCTTCATTGTTACAGTTGTATGTAATGGAGTATGAATTTAGGAACATTGTTATTGGACTGGCTTGTCCAGTCCGGATCTTTTCGCAAATTCAGAAATTAATGCTGTTAACTATAATGATTTAGTATAAAGCGCCGTTAAAATGATATAATTTGTGAATCTATTTTATCACTTAATGTAACTATTGGGATTCAAAATGGGCTTTCAAGAACGTACATACGTATTTATGTGTTGTAAATAACATACTCATTATGCGCAGAACTATGCTGCGCATAATACAGTTAAAATGACTAACAAGCACATTTATTAAATTTTTGCGTGAAAAGATTCAAATCTTATTTTTACTTTTTTTTTCATAAATTTTAGGTTTCCAGACAAATGTCATAATTTTTTATAATAATTGTATATTTTAGTTTAAATATACTTGTTTATTATTTAAAATTTTATGTATAATTTTTTTATGAGTCATTGATGGTTTTTTTTAAAACAATTAAATAAATACGCCTATTGTTATTAAATACTCCTCATTAAAATAATTATATATAAAATAGGTTTGTGATGTTTGACACGCAAAAACCAGGAACGGAAGGTATGATTTTTGGATTTACATGTAAAGTGAGTTCAATTTTAGTTTGACTAAAATATACCAAATTTGCAGTATTGGTACAATATATCAATCAGTTGGAATAATTTATATTTAAATAAAATAATCTATACAAAAAAAAAAAAAAATAGCAAACGATTAATGCTACTATATCATTACGGCGCGTTTGTGAAATTAAGTGATATTTTGGTCCCCAGATCTGAGTATTCAGTCACTAAATTTATTATACCCCAGATTTATCATAACGCTATTGTATCATAACGTCTAACCCATCTTCCCACCATTTAACCCATCTTCCCATTGTTCAAATTTTTATTCTTTTGACGACGCACCTTATTTAACAATTATTTTTATTACGTAGCGTAGTATATCATAATTTAAATCAGAATATATTTCACAATTACGCAACAATAACTCAAACTCATATTTATATATAATAATGTCAATTAAATTGGCTCACTGCCGGTAGTCAAAATTTTCAAAATTTGGGGTATTTCACAAATGCGCCATAATGATTCTTCTAGATTTATATCTGGTTTTTAATTATAAATAATTTGCTGCTTGTTCTCTTTTAATAAAGCAGTTAATCTTGCCAAAAGCCATAATGTTTATACAAAATTTTTTTAAAAAAACAAAAAAAAAAAAATTATACACGAGGTTTATAATAACAAGAATGTGGAGTACCTATTTATAAAGTAAAAATTCACCGTAAAAACTTTCAAATAGTAAAGTATAACATATCATGAAAATTTATAAATATAGAGTACTTCAAAGGTTTGACAATTTAAAGAATTATTTATATTATTTGGGAATATTTAATCTGCTGGCTATCATCTGGTATGGCTGTAACCGGTCACAACGGTTATAACATATATTATTTCTATTAAAGACTCTAGCTAGCTATAGAGTTTTATTTAAAGAACAATTCAAAAGGATGACAATAAATAGGATAAAAAATAATAAAGCAGATAATTTCAGTGCTGCCAAGGCAAAACCTTTAAGCAAATATTTGAGATATCAATAAGGCAAGTTAATCCTGGGAAAATTGTGATATTACGTATTAAATCATTAAATACAAATTGTATCGGTATGTAATATCACAATTTTCCCTGGATTAAACTCGCCTTATTGATATCTCAAATATTTTTTACAGGTTTTGCCCAGGCAGCATTCATTTGTGCAATTAAATATCTTGTACATCACGAAGTTGTTTTTATGTAGAGTTATGTAAATATTTTATGTACAGTAAAACCTTTCTATAATCACACACTTGGGATACAAAAATGTGTGATTGTAGAGAAGTGTGACAGATATAGGTGTCAAATTTATTATATTTAATAATACAGTCAACCCTCTTTATAATCACACACTTGGGACACAAAAATGTGTTATTGTAGAGAAGTGTGACAGATATAGAGGTAAATTTATTATATTTAATAATACAGTCTGGCCTCTCGATAGTTATCTCCTATATAAGCACATTTTCTTTATAAGCATATTTTTTTAAAAACACACTATTATTAAATATAATAAATTTGACCTTTATAACTGTTACACTTCTTTACAATCACAAATTTTTGTATCCCAAATGTGTAATTATAAAGAGGTTTAACTATTGTTTGTTTTTTAAAAATATATTTTATAAATAAAATGTGCTTATATAGAAAATGACTATAAAGAGGTTAGACTGTAATTTATTTTTTAAAAATATATTTATAAATAAAATATGCTTATATAGGAGGTGACTATAAAGAGGACAGACTGTATATTTTATTTAAAAATTATATATAAATCTATAAACTTAATACGTATAAACTTACATAGTTATAATTTATATATTAATATAATTAGTTTTTTATTTTTTTTAATTTTTTTTTTAAAAGGTAATCTTTTGGCTATAACTTTTTATTAAAGTTAAGTTTCAGTTACAATGAAGGTACAACTAGCCACACATACAACTTTTGGTTATTTATTTTAAATAGTTCACTCTAGATTCTATACTAGCTGCTATACCTGCAATTTAACTAGGGGATTACCTATTTAAACTTTCTGGTTTTTTACAAACAAAAGTATAACTAGCCATACATACAACTTTTGATTGCCTATTTAAATAGCATGCTCTAGATTCTACACTAGCTACCATATTTGCAATCCACTAGAGATTACTTATTTAAACTCTCTAATCATAATCTAATTCTACCTAGTTAAGTTTTCTAATTTGGTTGGCCAAATTTTGTTTGTACCTTAGAACTTACTAATTATAGACTAGTTTATTCTCAAGATAAACCTACTGGAGCTTTCCATATCTTATTTTGGCTAACCTGGTATCACAGTTGCTGAGGTTCTCACTTGCAGTTAGGTTTTAAACTTATTTAACCACTATGTTCTTGTAGAGTTTATTTAAAACCCTGATAACAAATATATTTCAGTTTCTCTAATTAATAGACTTCTATCTCTAGCTTTTAAAGCATTACAATCTATAATAGCCCAGGAGATTAAGTCTGCTAAACCTTTGGTTTATAGTCATCTCAACTCTAGTATATACTTCTGTAACATATATCCTTTTTCTCTAGCTTGTGCTCTGGCAGCCTTAGTTAGTTTCTCCTATAAAAGTATATTGTACTCTTCTTTCCTTAAAAGTATCCTCACTTTTAAGAGGTTTTTGTACTCTTATTTCTGGTTCAAGTATTTATTTTTAGTTTTGGCTTTTTTTATAGCACTAATTACCTTTCTACTTGGGTCTTCTTAAGCCAGTTTTTGATCTTCTAGTTCTCTTTTAGTTTTTTATAATTCCAGAAAGTTTATTATAATTTTGCACTATCTATTCTAGTTTGCATTTCTCTATATAACTCTAATACTATATAAATACTTCTAGAACCTTCTGATACATAAATATACTAGTTTGACCAGAGTTATAGACCCTAGAACCTAACAAATTAATAAAGATCAACTATAATAATACAAGGTAATTATTCAAAATATTGTTAGTGAGATTTGAACTCTGTATTTTTAGTTACAAGAAGCTTGAAGTAACAACCAACCAACTATACTAGGTTGCTATATTTTATATAAATATAATTATAAATAAAATTTATCTAATAATTATTTAATATTTAATAAATATAATAATATATTTAGTATTTAAATAAATAAATTGTTAGAATAAATAAACATTATAATTAGGATGTAGTAACTTAGTGTTGTAGTAGAGTTGTCACATTCTCAAATGGCAAGTCTAGAGTTTAAATCTCACAGATGATATTTTTAAAAAATAGCTTTGCGATACAGTTAATAGCAATTATAATTGGTTAGATTCTAATCTGTAATCTTGGTTACACTATCTAGAATAGAAGATCTGACACAATAAATTCAAAAAACCAGAATAACTAAAAACTTGTTTGGCAAGTTCCAAGTTAAAGAAGTAGCAGTAATCTTTAACAGTGCTATAGAAAGACTAAATTTGGAATTGAAAACCATTATCGAAGAACTGAGTGACAAGATTTTTAAATGTGAGATATATTAGCTAAACTACTAGCTTGCTACTGAAGAAAAAAAACTTGTACTTCAGAAGTATGTACCAAGAGGAGAGAGACTATGAGATATTTAAAGACTAAGCAAATAACTCATCTGAGTTGCTAGCTAAAAGAAAGAAAAAAACTAATAAGAAATTTGAGAAAGAAAAGATCTAATAAGAAATTTGAGAAAGAAAAAAGTTAAAATATAAATACTAGAGTTGTTGTAAACTTTGCAAGAGCAAGAAGTACATAATAGAAAACTAATTAGAAAAGTTGTAACTTAAGATACAGATCAGGTTACAGCAGTATCCAAAAAGATAGCTTGAGGTATAAACCTAGTAATAGCTGCATAACAAGTACTAATTAGTAAAAAGTTACTAAATATGCAGATAAATATATGCATAGAACATATATTATTCTGTTTGATTTATTACAAAAATAAATACTCTTTTAGAAAACTAGATTAACTAGAGGCTAAAGTCTTAGGATCTTTAACAGCAAATTATTCTAAAAGAATATATTAGAAGAAACATAGTACAGAGATTAAAGCCAGAGTTTAAATAGATAGCTTTTTAGTTAAGCTATAAATATAGTAGCTAGTGTAGAACTTTAGAGCAGACTATTTAAATTAGACAACTAAAAGTTGTATGTGTAGCTAGTTGTATTCTCATATACAACTGTAATATATCATTAGTCTACTTAACCAATAAACTTATTAGAACTAATAAAGTGCCAAGAGCCTAAGTGGTTATCTTAATATTAAAAAAATATAAAATAAAAATAAAAAAATAAAAAAAATAAAATAAAAAAATAAAATAAAAAAATAAATAAAAAATAAATAAATAAAAAAAATAAAAAAAAAATAAAATAAAAATATAAAAAAAAGGGGTTTTCTAGGCATCTCTTGCCAGAGATATATAACTTATATATCTCTGGCTTATTAGCCAATTAAAATTAATAAAGGTCACATGACCTATTTTTCAAATTGTTTCCGAATTAGAAAATTTTGTGCAACCTGAAATCTGACCTAACTTTCCGAATATGAAAAATTGGCCAATCAAATTTAATAATACAAAAAAAAGTTTAAGTTTTTTAATTTTTTTTATTAAAAAGTATTATTTTTTATTGGTTACTAAAAATACTACCAAAAAACACTGCAAAAACAAATACAAAAAAAATATCAAAAATTGCCAAAGACATACTAAAGAATTCACCACATAACACCAAAGGTGTTTAAGAAAAACAAACACCAAAAAATTCATCACAGTTCTAAAAGTGTCCAAGGACAAATGCCGGAGAATTCACCACACAATGCCAAAGGTGTTCAAGAACAAACACCAGAGAATTCATCACAGTGCCAAAAGTGCCCAAGGACAAATGCCAAAGAATTCACCACACAATACTGAAGGTGTTCAAGAACAAATACCAGAGAATTCATCAAAGTATCGAAAGTGTCCAAGAACAAATGTTGGAGAATTCACCACATAATGCTGAAGGTGTTCAAGAACAAACACCAGAGAATTAATCACAGTGCCGAAAGTGCGCAAGGACAAATGCCAGAGAATTCACCACACAATGCCGAGAACAAACACCAGAAAATTCATCACAGTGCCAAAAGTGCCAAAAGACAAATGCCAGAGAATTCACCACACAATGCCGAAGGTATTAAGAACAAACATCAGAGAATTCATTACAGTGCCCAAGGACAAATGCCAGAGAATTCACTACACAATGCTGAAGGTATTCAAGAACACCAGAGAATTCATCACAGTGCCAAGAACAAATGCCAGAGAATTCACTACACAATGCTGAAGGTATTTAAGCACACTAGAGAATTTATTATAGTGCCAAGGACAAATGCTAGAAAATTCATCACACAACTCTGAAGGTATTCAAGAACACTAGAGAATTCATCACAGTGCCCGAGGACAAACTCCGGAGAATTCACCACACAATGGCGAAGGTATTCAAGAACACCAGAGAATTCATCACAGTGCCCAAGGACAAACACCGGAGAATTCACTACACAATGCCAAAGGTATTTACGAACACCAGAGAATTTATTACAGTGCTCAAGGACAAATGCTGGAGAGAATTCACCACACAATACTGAAGGTGTTCAAGAACACCAGAACAAATGTTAGAGAATTCACCACATGATGCCGAAGGTGTTCAAGAACAAACACCAGAGAATTTATCACAGTGCCAAAAGTGCCCAAGGACAAACATCAGAGAATTCACTACAATGCCGAAGGTGTTTAAGAACAAATACCAGAAAATTCATCATAGTGCCAAAAGTGCTCAAGGACAAATGCCAGAGAATTCACCACACAATACTGAAGGTGTTCAAGAACAAACACTAGAGAATTCATCAAAATACCGAAAGTGCCCAAAAACAAACACCAGAGAATTCACCACATAATGCCAAAAGTGTTCAAGAACAAATACCAGAGAATTCATCATAGTGCCGAAAGTGCCCAAGGACAAATGCCAGAGAATTTACTACACAACACCAAAGGTTTCAAGAACAAACACCAGAGAATTCATAATGCCGAAGATGCCCAAGAACAAATACCAGGCATAACACCAAAAGCATCTAAAAACAAACACCAGAGAATTCACCACACAGCACCAAAATTGCCAAGGAGAATTCACCACATAATACTGAAAGTGTTCAAGGACAAACACCTTATATAACGCTGAAATTGCCCAAGAACAAGCACCAGAGAATTTATTACACAATGCCAAAAACAAGCACCAAAGAAAAAGAACTCACTACACAACATCGAAAGTGTTCAAGAAAAATTTACTACACACC